ATTAAGGTTTAAACGACAAAACTTTTCCAACTAACGGGATCTTTTAAATTTAAAATTTTTCTCTCCTTGTACGGCAAATTTATATCTCGCGATCTAAGCGTTTTTCAGATCAATGGCCGATAGACTGTTGGATTGCGACAAGACAGCGATCACTATTGTAAGACACCTTCATCTCCGTTACGCGTACCTGTCACGACTTTTTATCGCGACTCGCGGCGCAACAGAAGCAAGAAAGTTGACTTTGGATATTCTCTATACCATAAAGCGAACATCGATTAGATGAGAAAGTTGATGTGCGAGAGGTACAAAGTAATCAATCGTTCAGTGTGTGGTTGAGGCATCTAAAAAAGTTCAGAAATTCGATCATTTGGCCCAACGGCGTTCTTATACATTCCCCATCGATCAAATCTATACTGATAAAGCCTCTGTTAGATATCAGTGCAATTATGTCAAAAGACGTGATTAACTATAATTTTTTACATTCCACTAATCAATAAAATCTGATACTAATCCTAGTCGAGGACCCATGAGAAATTCTGAGGAAGTATTGATGCACTCGCGAGAGATATTCACTGTTTTGCTTTAAAAATTAAGAAAATTAGCGAAAAAAGTAAAAACATCATGATTTAGTCAAAGTATTTTAATGACATAACGAATATAATGGAATTCTTACGTTATGTTGAAATAATAACAGGAAATACGTTGAAGAGAGTTTTAAAATTCGGCAGTGTTTTAACTTCTTGTAATTCGAAAAAAATTAAAGACGATGCGATTAGGGTAAGTGTCTTTTACATTAATTTTTCCTTCAACAATCACGGCCTCAACGTCTTTCAACCTTCATGTTGAGAGTCACGATTGTTAGAAGAAAAGTTATTGGATACTTTAATTAACCGACAACTGTTTTCTTTACGGACTGTAGCGCACTCTCTCATTTATTGAATGATGTATGACTTTACTACTAATGCTTTCTCAAAAGTCATGTCAATCATTACTATGTTTCCTTTATATTATTAACTACAGAACAAGGCCGATAGCAGCAGAGCCATCTGGTTTTTTTAGAGCTTTGTTCTTTTATCCAATCATATAGAGAATCTCAACCTCACTGAGCAACTCCCAGCCGCTTGCAATGATACTCAGTTGTGTACTATAAGCGTTGCTTTTTTCTTCTGTTCAGCGTTATTCTTGTCTTTCCTAACCGCTACCTTGACTGTTTTTCGGAAAATGTTTTAGCTATATTTAGCATCTATGAGTAAGTTAAATTTTCTTTTGTTCCTTTTTTTTGAGTATTGTTCTTCCCATTTAGTAGATGAACTTACAGGACTCCTTTGTTTTGCACTCCGTTTCAGTACTAAAGATAATAGTCCTCTTCTTTTTGTATCCTTTTCGTAATCTCAAGCCCGCATGTTTGTTTTTCTGGAGTTTTCTCCTAAATTAAAGAAAGTACGCAATGAAGGAACGACTTACATTTGGATTGTTTAATAAAAAAGAAATTTTAAGGTGAATACTCTTCCGAGTTTAAGATCGATGTTTCTGACGCTGCACAGTTTATGTTAGAGACTAATCTCGAAGTTGGGTTAGACGAATTTTCTTTTAATCGCATGTCTTCATTTTATCTAAAAAGTTATTAACATGTTTTTTTCTAGATGTCAGAAGATAATTTAATAAGTCCTGGTGACATTGTCAATACAGTTTATGCACAACGTATAAAAATTTTACGAGAAAAATGTGACAAAACTGGTGATGACCCTCAAGGGTGGATTGAAGCAACAAAAAAAGATCTTCGTGTAAGTCTACTGTGGGGATTCTTTTTTTCTTGTTAAATTCAAACTAATTATTTACTCATCCTTTGTTGTAGAAAATGGTTGCTGAAATGATGGACGAAGATCGAAAATTATATGAGCGTAAAATGAACGATGTTAATATTATCAAACTGAAATATAATCAGTTATGGAAAGAATTACACCCAGATAAAGAGTGTCCAACGTATGATGAATCGTTTCCTCTTTTGTTAGCTTTACGAACATATGAAGAGGAATATAATAGATTAAAAGAACAACACACAAAATTATTGGAAAGAGAGCCAGAAATTAGACGAGAAGAACAAGAATTGTGTAACGAATTAAATGAAAAACCATTAGATTTAAATAAAAATACTTTATTAATCACATGTATGAGTTTCATCACAACACATATTTTAGAATTAAGAGAGAAAAAGGTAGGAAACAAACTGTTCGACTCGTTTGTTATTAGACTGGTTGTTTTCACGTTTTCATTGGCTAGTAAATGTCTAAATCATTTTTACTGTTATTTCTGTTTATTCGACAGCTTTCTGGAAAAAACTGATTAAATGGCAAATTTTCAGATTTTGATCTAATTGGTTACTTTGTTGTTTTTATAGGCAAAACACATCGAAAAATTGAATAACATTGTATCAACATTGAAAGAATTTGAAGAATTATACGGATGGAAGCGTCCAACAATCGAAACGATGGTCGGTCGATTATTAAATATTGATGATGTTTCAAAGTTTTCTTTAACGAAAGAAGCTATTGAACTTATTGAAAAAGAATTCAGTGAAGTACGTGTTTATCCTCGTTTTATTTTAATTGTATGTGAGTGTATGCATGTTGTCGTTCTTAGATATCGAGTCAAGTTCGCAATGCTGAACAAAAATTTGAACAATCACAAAACGTTTTAAAAGATTTGATTCGTAAACATCGTTCATTAAAACCAACAAGTGAAGCTATAGTCAAATATCAACAGTGTCGTCTATCAATACTAACAGATGTAAGTAAATCAACTGGAGATGTTTTGAGGAATAATTCTGTTTGTTTCTTTTTTTAAGCTTACTGCCGAAGTTGATCGTTATAAAGAACATGCGATGGATAAATTAACATTAGAAATAATGAAAGCACGTGAACGTATTCATTTTATATTGGATAAATTGTCAGTTGGGCAGGTTGATAGTGATCCAAAATATTCAATATTGAATGAAGGTAAATATAAGATAAAGACGATGAACTTACAAGAATTCATTTTTATATCTATACTTTAGATGAGTTCACCGAAGATTTACATTATATGCACGAGGAATTATTACAAGAATTGGAAGCACAGTATGAGACAAATAAAGCAATGTATGAGCAGATTGAAAGCTGGAATATTCTGTTTCGTGAATATCAAGATTTTGAGGTATGTTGTTGTTCACTTTAAACAAATAACAATGATCATCTTATTGTTATATATTCTAGAAAACATCAACAAATCCTGATCGTTTTTATATACGTGGCTATAGTGCTATAACAGAATCAAAAACACGTAAACGTCTAGAACATCAACTAAAAGAATGTGAATTAAAATTACAATCGTTCAATGAAGATTATCAGCGAAAAAATAACGATCAGGAATTTAAAATTAATGGCCTAAGTGTTATGTCATATGTTGCTCAAGCAAAAGAAGATTATCAGAAATCAAAAGTACGTGATCATCGAGTAAGTGGTCATAGATATTCACTGAACGGAAAAAACGACGGTAATAAATTCACCAACTGTCAGATGTAGTAATTATCTGTAACGTTTGCAAGTTTACTGGTCTAATTTACCGGTACAATGATAGGAACGAAAATTCTATAAAATAGGCGTGTTACATGAGATTACCAACGCAAGAAATTTAATGACAATTACCAACGGATCAAATTTAATGACGTTTGGTACTTAAGGATTTTGAACTAAACTCTTTCTTTTGGCTCATTCAGATTTTTTCCAAAATGAGTGTAGATAGGATTTCTAAAACCTGTGAGTTTTGGCATGCCAGACCGGAGAAAATTATTTTTTAGAAAAACCCAGTAGTTTTGAAAAGTTTTCGGGACAGCCACCGCACTCAGGGCACAATAGGCTACATTTTGGAAAAAAATCAAGTCTCCAGCGTCAAGTCACCAGCTAAAAACCACGTTTTTCTGGAAACCCTACTTCAAGCGATTTCAAGCAAAAAAAATCTGAGCCAAAAGAAAGAGCCTAGTTCAAAACCCTTCAGTACAGACGTGAATCGAATGGCGAGGAATTAGCCTAGACGAACGTTCTCATTTAACACGCCTATACAGTCCTGTTTGGTAGTCTAAAAAGTTATATCTGAAATTAACTATTCCACTTTCTTACCTATCGTAGTTCACATAATGATGTTAATCAGTAGTACCTAGTAATATCTTTGATGTTTGGCACAGTCTAACAAGAAAACTCAACATTTTTTAACTGCACCATGCAGTTTTGAAGTGCAAACTGCTCTCTTGTTGCTTATAATAAGTACAAAAAAATTTGAAATAATTTTATTGTGGTCAAATGGTGAAGAATTTCATGCTTTACAAAAGCGTTTACTTGAAGGAAAGTTATTTCAATTGCTAGTGGCTTTAATACATAAACTTCCAAGTCCACCGAAGTTTCTAGAACTAAAAATATTTTTGACTATTCCAGTATAAAATCCAAATTTCAAATCATTAGTTTATAGACCAAAAAATGTAAAATTTCGCGCTGTATTAGACTGTAATTTACAAATAAACCTGCTACTTTTTTTACCTGAAAAACTAGGGAATACCAGTTGTCGCTAAGATGGCCGAAAAATAGGAGAAAATGACCTTTCTTAAAGACTCTTTTCACTATGATTTCATCTAAAAAAATCATTGTTTATCATCAAAAGAAAACATCATATTGTAGAATATGATATCTTGCTGAATTTTTCAGTATACCTTGTTTTGTTGAATAAGTGATTTTTACTAAGGCGCAAAAAATCGATTTTTTGAAGATGCAGTTAAAAAATTTGGAGCTTTTCCTGTTAGACTTACTGTGCCAAACATCGAAGATGCATCTTAAAAATGAATATAAAATCTTGTAGAGAATTAAGTTGTCCATCGTTTGGTATAGTAACGAATTTTTTTTCTGAAACGATTTGTAAATTCATCGTGCTAGAAATCGTTTCAGAACTTGTGAAACATCCTTTAATTGGTATTATGATGAATTGTAGCGTTACAAACATTGTTTTTGTCAACAACAATGAAAAACTATCTGTGTCATCAGAAGCGTAAAAAAGAAATCATCAGAAGCTATAGCAAGTGCTCGAGTTCATCTGAACAATGTTGCACTTTCGTTATTTGTACCAGCGTAAAAACAAAAAAAAATGAACACAACTAATTATCTTCACATTTGAAACTGCATGTCTCTCCTTCTCTCTCTTTATACTTATAATATTACAATCAATAAATTCTCTTTATAGTTTTCTTTTCAAAATATATTTTGTTTATTTATTGAAATTTTCTTTGTCCATATGTATAAATGATATTCTTTTCCAAATTATTGACTATAAAGAGAAAGTGTTATACGTTGATAAAAAAAGAGCTTAATTGGATCAGCCACGTCCATTCTCGCCTAGATGCTTATTTGTTAAGGGTACATTCCTCATTTTACGAACAATTTTCATTTTTGAGACAAATGTCAGTGACATGTCCTCTATAAAATAAGACCATCCTTAGCTCTCCACAAGAGATACGAATTTTTTGAAGTTTGTCATTTGACTCTAAAAAAACTATTTTAACTTTCGAAAATTTTCTTATTTATTCCAACACTTACAAGTTTTCTCAAATAGTTAGAGTAACTTTGAATGACACAATATTTTTCATCAGATAAACTTTCAAGAAGGGAAGGAGGGAGGCGTGAACACGTATTCCAATCTTACCTCAGCGAATTATTATCAAAATTCTTGTTAAACGATAGATTAAGGTTGCTGTACTGTGTTCTATCCGTGTTGACACATCCCTCTTGCATTCTGAACGGTTAACTGCTCTTTAACTGTTGTGTGAATTATCTGCTTCGTTTACTTGCAAAAACTAGTTTAAATTTTACAATTCATTTTTAACATTATTTCCATTCTTTTTAGAATCCCAAAAACAACTCGACCTCGTCCTCATCGACAGCATTATCGAGTGGTCCCTCAACACAAATTAGTCGTACACCCTTAAAAACAAAACAACCATACGTTGTTTCTACCCCAAATCATCGTACTGGATTTTGTTCTACCGTAAAACGAGTAAGATATTATGTTGAAATGGATTAAGATTAGACATAAAATCGAGATGATTTTTTTAAATTTTATGTTACTTTTCGTTTGAAATTATTTTTATTTACAAACGCTTTAGTAACTCCGTATCATGTTTTTCCCGTGGGAAACGATTAAATTAATTAAAAATCAATATACTGAACAGCACAAAAGTAAAATGTAAAAATGATAAAATATACGTGATAAAAAGATAGCAAAAACTAATAAAGCAGAAAATAGTCATGTAACATCTTGAGAGTACAACTTTAGCACTCATTCTATATACATGTGCGTAAGAAATATAATTTTTATCATGTATTGTTTATCATTTTTTTATTTTTGTGCTATTCAATATATTAAATTTTAATTACTTTGATGATTTTCCATTGAAAAAGATAACACTGTGTCATTGAAGCGTTTTGCAAATAAAATTAATCAAATATCAAAAAAGAAAAGAAAACCTAAACGAAACAAAAAATACGCTTATAAAATACTTTAATTTTTTGTTTTAATATACTCTTACTATATTTTGTTCTTCTTCTAGTTTGAAACAAATTCGAAGTCAAATTCTCGAACGCCGTTAACAAGTTCAATATCGAGTCGTAAGATCGTGGCATCGACGCCAGGTTATTCAGCAATAAAAACACGATCACAAAAAAATAATAACAGTGGCATCACATCAACAGCCGTAAGTGATAAATGGAAAAAATTAGTTATTATTTTTGTTATGTAGCATTGTTTCTCTTTTTTTTTAAATAGAAAACAGCAAAAATGAAACGTTGCATTGATTTTGATGGTGCATCGTCAGCGACACCACTTAAACAACGTCATCTTGTTCATAAAGTTGTGGATACGCTTAAAGAAACAGATGAAAATAATAAACGAAACGAGTCATTATCATTCAATTTTGATAATAGAAGTGTACATAATTCGAAATCAACTGTAGCCGTTCGTAAGGTACTGTTAAATAGGAACTTTTTTGTCGTTTTATCTTAAAATTCGTCTCAATTTTAGATGGCTACACGACAAAATCAGAAGAAAAATCAACCGACACCAAGTAGAGCAAAGAAGTAGTGGTAATACCGTTTTGAGTATGGAAGACTGTATGAATCCTTGTCAACTTAAATTGAGCATATATTTTTCACAAAATACTTTTTTGTTTTTGATGGCAGAAGAAATATGGATGGAATAAATGGATACAAACGTTGTATTCTCTTAAGTTCATTCACGACGGTCTTATGACAATCTCTTCTTTGAAATTTTTGTTGATATTTTGTTTCGACGCTAATATTCTCTCTCTTATTTTAGACTGAGCATGATGTGTATATAAAATGGTCTTGAATATTGTGTACTTATTTATCTTCAAATGTTTTTTTTTTGTCTTTTTTGTTGTGTCTACCTTTTGTAAGTATTGTGAAGCGTCTTTTTTGGCGTTTCTTTTATTTGTGTGAATGAATTTCATGATCATCATGTATGTATTTTATGTGTAGTTTCTTGGCATCTTTTTTTTTATCGTCATACGTTGTAATTTTATTGAAACGAAACTAAATGTTGCTTCTAAGATGGCTGTAAATATTCTGGGAGACTAGTGAGAATTTATCATCAAATTTAATCGTACTAAGATCAAAAAAACTTTTGAAACAGCCAATGGTCCATTTTTCTTTTATCAACGGAACTGTCGTCATTGCTTTCTTAGGAAATTTCACTTTATACTTCTTGATTTGGCAGTTTTGATAAAAAATAAATGTGTGTGAAAGTCTAGTTTTTCTCGGTAAATATTCTGATAAGTTTGCACTTCCATTTTTTACATAAAAAATAACATCACTTTGATGATCAGTAAGGGAACAAATCTTTTTATCTAAAAGATATAGGTAATTTAGATTTAAAAAAAAGAAAAGAAATGGACAGGGAAGAACTATGTTATTGTGCCTTCCATCAGCTATTCAGTCTCCACAACTCTCTTTTGTTATGTGTAATAAAACGATCAATTTCTGCACTATTAGAAAACATAACCCAATATTATTCGTAATTACTTATTCTGTAGCTATAATTTGTTTTTTGCTGAGTATAATATTAGATCAAATAGTCAAACCACTTCATACATTGGTGGATGGACTCGTAACCAGAGATGTGCACCGGTTCACCGATTCGCCGCCGGTCATTTTTACTCGCTGCCGCCGCTGAAGTCGGAGAAAAATTATTGCGACTTCTGCCGCCGCCGCTGACAGCGGAGAAAAACTGTTTTGACTTCCGCCGCCATGTCGTTGAACTTTTGTCGCCGCCGAGGGCGGAGAAAATTTTTTTTCGAAAATTCTGACTATTTTTGTTAATACGTTCTTACTTTAGGCATCTAGCGTGCAGAACGCGAAGAACGTGCCAGAAATGAAAGAGAACGTTGTTTTACTTAAATTATGAGATTCGCCGACGATAACTAATATTTACACGCCACCGCCGAAGGCGGAGGAAATTTTCATAGCCTCGCGCCGCCGCCGTCCATGGTAAAAGTTTCATTCGCCACCACCGAAAATTTTTTATCGGCGCACATGTCTGCTCGTAACACAGTGGGCATTTTCTATAGACCAGGCGGACATGTGGATTTTTAATTCAGAAAGAGACTATTTTTGCTCAACAGTACTTTATTACGTTTGAAATGTTATTATAAATTAAAAAAACCGGAACTCGGAAAAAAGCTTTTCAGACGAAAAATCTCTGATAGGCCCCTGCGCTAAATTTCGCCGGAAACCCTTTTTCCTCAAAAATGGTTCTTAGTCATACCAGTCAACACAGTTTTTCGCGCAAAATCCGAATACATATTAATTATTCAAGTAAAGTAACATATAAGGGTAGAAAAGTCCAAATTATCTCAAAAACAATGGGTTTTTAGAAAAGGTGTAAATATCGACCGAAAAAGTTCTGAGATTTTGTGAGTATACTACAGATACAGGATGTACTAAGGAACATTTTGATGAAAAAATAAGCAAGATTGCACCTTCGCTAACGCGCGCGTTTTGATTATACTGTACACATCTGTTTTCCTAGCGTTTTCCTTATATCACCCTGTTTTCTTTCTCGCATAATTTCATAAGGAAAAGTCACAGAATAGAATAAAATTTTTTACGCCATTTGATAGCGCATTTAACGTTGTATATTTGATACTATTTAAATCACAGAAAAGCTCACGTTCGATTTTCGACCAAATGTCCGCCTATATGACACTGTGCGCAAGTTGTGCACGTTGCAATTTCAGATGAATAACATCGATTGAGTTTTATGAAGAATACATGTTTCAAAAAAACACTTTAACAAAGTATCAGACATTAGAGGTACGAGACTCAATTGAAAAACCTTATGACTTAATTCTTTTTCGTCAGATCGTGATCATTATTATGACAGTTCATGCTATTACAGACAAACTTTGAATTCTTTAAATATCAAACAATTCTCTTGCTTATTTGTGAAACATGTTCAGACAATAATATTAATCTAGATTCGCTGTAGCGATGAATTTGGTTCTCTACAACAATATTGTGAAATTTAAGGAAAAGTGGATTTTTGAATTGAGGAGCTTTGTAAATTTCAGCCAATTGACAAGTTCTCTTTTTCTATTTTCTAAAACTAATATTTGAGCAGTCTGCTGTGGAATGAATGAAAACCATAGTTTCATCTCGGAAGATTCAACTGTATAGGGACGTAGTTTAAACTTTCTTTAAAAATGAAAAATGCAAGTTTAGCTGAATTATTTATTCATTGGCAATAAAAAAACTTTTACTTGAATTTTAACTTTATCAGATTATATTTGAACCGAAATCGTTGTTCTAATGTCTTAGTTCTTACTAGAGAACATCGCTAATTGGTTCCAGGATTTTTACGCTAAATACATCGGGTTATATTAATTTAGACATGCTTATTATAAATCTGATATTCGTTTGTATAGGGATCTCTGAAAAACAAAAAATTCTAAAACCAAATTTTTATCTGAGGTTGTTATTTTGTAGAATAGATCGAATTACCTATGATTCTTGTTTTCTAATTTCATCAAATGAATGAGAACAATACTATAAGAGGGGATATTAAACAGCTTCTAGATCCGGCATTCGCTCTAATTAATAACATTCTCACACTATCAAGTAACGTTATATGTCTAAAACGGTTAACGAACATAGATGGTTCAATGTACTATTCAAAATGACAACCTCAGAAAAAATCTATTTTTAGAACTTTTTGACTTCTCGGAGAGACAGAGAGGTAGTGAAAGATTTTTAAAAATAAAATTAGATTTTTCTCGAACATGCTGTTTTCTTCGTAAATCGTGCAGCTTCTGTCTCTGCTGGAATGGCATCAGAGAAGAAGTGAAACGGAATCTGCGAATGTAAGTTACTGACGTTTTACACTATAGAGGGTTATATTCATTCTGTCACTCAAGGAAGGAGAGCACGGATTATACGAAGAGAAACACTGAAAGTCTCAACCTAATCAAGAGTAAAGCACGAGAGAAGCGTTTCTGCCTCAACTCTTTCATGCAGTGTTACTTTACTCGTCACTACTATAATAAATTTGAACTGAAGCTCGTTGATGATTCAGTATATTTGTGGCGGTACCTAGATGGTCTTCTCTGCTTTCATATTTTAGACATATTTTAGACCGTTAATTAGGTTATTTACTGAGCTTTATGGTGATGGTGAAGGAAACATGTCTACTTCACTTTGCACGAGTGCCTACTATTCTAGCCTTCTGTTAAACTTTTTTCAGGCGATATTTATGAAATAAACCACTTATTGTAAATATTTCCCCACAAGACTACATACACACAAAGAAACAACAACAGTTTCTGAATCCTCATTCCGGCCACTGTGAATTATAGACAAAGAAATTCTCAATCGACTGAACATATTTTATTGCGTTTCTCGTTTTTGTTCGATTTTTCTTCTTCTTTAAATAGTTGAATGCTTTGCTAAGAAAATTCAAAGGAGAAGAAAAATTTTCAAAATCCGACATTATCGTCCAGTTTTAGCATAAAAACCAGTTTTCAATAATGTCATCATGTTTGTTTCGAACAAAACATCGAAGAATTTACATTTTTGATCAAATTACTTTACTCTGTTCTTTTACTATTATTGCTGAATTTTTTTAATCGAATCATTTTTTCAATAAATTGTCGAATAAATGGCGGCTCAGCGTCCGAATCGAATCTCATTATCGGATGCCCAGTAGAATCAATGAGAAATTTTTCAAAATTCCATCGAACATCATCCGCATGAACTGGCTCATACGAAATCATTGTTCGATCTTCAAATACCTTATTGGTAGCTGGTACTCTTGATTTTAAATATGTGTATAAGGGATGAGCGTTCTTGCCATTAACATCAAGGATCCAAAAGAGTGGAAAATTCGGTACGAAATTGTTTCCCGGACGCATATATTTCAAGCCATCTAACAGTTCTTTCTTTGTTTCGGCCGGTTCTTGATGACCGAATTGGTTGCACGGAAAACCAATCACTGTGAAACCATATTGTGAAAATTCTTTTTGTAAGGCATTCAGCTGTATATATTGGGAGGTTACACGTCAGAATGTCGCCACATTAACAATGAGACATATTTGATTTTTGAATTGTGCCATGGGCGATTTTTGTAATTCTAAATTTTGTGCTTCAAATTCATAAATTGATGTTGAATCTTGACAACTACGGTAACGTGTAAATGGTACACGATCATCTTTGTTTGTGAAATATTTCATGTCCAGTAAGGAAACGGAATACATATTAAATAATGACTCAACCATTTCTTTTTCTTTTCCATTTTGACGACTTCCATCTTTACTTCTATCTTTAGCACCAGACATTTTAATTAATTCGCTATTTTGAAAAAGAAACTAGTTTTATACATTAAAACTGAAATTGCTGCTAATGCATACAAAAAAGAATTCTAAATGTCCTATAATTGTGCGCATAGCAACAACTCGATAACCATTTATAACAAGCATGGCGTTTGTTATTGTTGTCAATGCATTCTAATGTATACAAATTAATGTTAGTCGAATTGACCTAAACGTTTTCAAAATTTAACAATATATACGATACCTTTTGAATTCATATCGGTTTAGTAAGATTTATTCACATATTAGGTTGATTACTCATAACTGAGCAGAACATCAGTGCTAGTAAAAAAGTCGAAAAAAAGCATAGTACATTTTTTATTAACAGTCATCTCAAATTTGTGGTACGGTCAGTAATATGGAATTTTTACATTTAACTTTCGTTTTATTGAATGATCCTCTAATTGCATCAAACTGGCACCAATACTATTCGTTTTTTTCTCATATGGTAACGGTATTTTGGGTGTATTTGTAGTCGTTTGCATTTGAAACAATCGTCATCAAAATCGTCATCTACGAGATTATCATCGTCGAAACTATTGGTATTTGACGCTTGAAACGAGGCCTGGGAAAACAGATTCAAGTTTTCCATACGGCGTATCGAAGAAGGGGAGCGATAATCCGCCGTATCCACTCCTCCTGATACTCCTTCGAACGACACGTCTCCTTAAACAAACATCATTGATATTTTACTTTACATCAAACAATTGTGTTTTAATCTACTCACATACTGGTAATATCAACCACTTTCTCTTCCACTGCGTCTAAACGTCTTGGTGGTGAACCTCCTCCAGTCTTTTTCATTTGATGACTGTTGTCAACTGCTTTTGCTTCAACAGCAAAATGTACTCACTAAATTAAAGGACTAATATCCTATATATAGAGGACTGAAACTTTTAGCGATAAATCGTCGTTCTGGACGGGTAGCAGTACGCCCAGCACTTTTCCACATAGGTACGGGTCGAGTATGCCCTAGTCGAGACTCCCGGTAAAACTCCCACGGGACTCCTTCACGGGGTTCTGCGGGAATCAGATGGGGCTTTCAAGGGATTCCTCAGGACCCCTGAGGACTCCCGTGGGACTTTGAGGATTCTGAGAACTTTCGTTGGACTCCCGCAGGATCCCGTGACAGGAGTCTCGTGGGAGTTTTACCGGGAGTCTCGACTAGGGTGGGGCGTCTCCTTGTGTGTCAGAACGAGTTCCAGTACGGGACGACCTTTTCTATCACAACAGGTCATCCATCGGGCCGTTCTAGAATGGGCATCACGAATGGTACATACTTCTTGGTCAGAATCAGTATAAGTATGTGGCGTTCTACAACGTGCTTCCAAATAGCCCATAGTATTTCAATTAGAACGCATTAAAGTACGGGATCTGAACCCCGTACTAAAAATAAGTACGGGGTTCGAACGCCCGTTCTGTGATTTTTTTAACCCCTTGGGTACAGACGTGGGAGACGTCTTACTTTAAAGAGGAAACATTTTAATTTTTAATTGATGAGAAGGCAAACGTTAACAGTTTATCTCGTGCCTGGATACAAGCTACAACTTAAATGCTCGATTCGTATGACGCAGCATTTATGTCAATAATCCTAAGTCAATGAATATATTAATTATTAGGATTTACTTAACAATTGATCTAAAGAAAACTGCTTGCTTTTTAAAATAAGTCGTCTCCGAGCTTTGTATGAGGTTCTATTCCCAAAGTACTGCACAATGAATTTGGAGATAGTGTACTTAACAGAGCCCGAAATGAAGCATGTTTTCATTTCATTAAACCTGATTCGATTTGATCCGATTCGGAACAACTGTTTTGAATCCTAAATCGGTTCAATTTGATTCGGGCTCTGGTACTTAAGGCTTTATGCGGTCAAGTCGTATATTATTGCTTTCAGAAATAAAAGAAGAGTGAAAATATTTTGATCTCACCAGTGGCTCGTTTCTTCTTTGCGAGAAGTTCTCTTTTCTTGTGTTGTTGCTTTTTAATGTTTTTCAGAAAACTAATATCACAGAAAAACTCAGCATCAAAATTTATCTATAATTCGTAAAAAATAATAGAAAAAATTGATTTTTAAGCGCACGAAAAGATGGGTGCAGGTGTACACGGTAAAAAAAAAAGTCTGAAATAGCGCTCACTAGAAAACGTCCAGGAAAAAGTATAGCAAAAATCATAGTCAGAAATCAGTCAAATATTACTTAAAAATCTCTTCATATTTTGTTTTTTCGTAAAAGCATAAGAGACTGTTGGGATCGTCTTCTTGAGTCTAAAATCAAAAACCAAAGACAGTAAAAGACTAATTCTTTTGCAGTTGGAAAGGGCAAGGTTTACGCCACATTTTGACTATAGAGTAGTTGGCATTTAAATAACTTTTTATCGACTTGTAGCAATCACATGGAAATGGTCTGGTTGTGACATTTGATATATTAGCCTCAATCAGATGACTATCGCTTCCGTATATTGGACGTCGATCATTGTTCCTGAAAGAAGCTTTTTATCTCTAAGTTTGTTATTTTTAATTTTTGATGCATTACTTACCAAGGATACTTTGAGCTTGTTCCAAGCTACGACTTGTGCATTAACTAGGTATCTTTCTTATATATATATGTACACTCATATTCTATGCAAAATTTTATGAAGTCATGTAAAAAGCATTCTTCCTACCAATTGCAGCTTACACAATTAAACAATTCAACAAGAAAAAGTGGAAAAGTAACAGATATAAGATTTCTATACATTAGTGGCATAATTGTAATCGAGAGAAAATAAAAAGAAGACGTCGTAGAAAAATAGATTCAACATTAACCAGAAACGCCATATTTATAACGAACACACCTGACATTATTAATATGCACACATACGACATTACAAACAGTTTTAACATTATGAGTTTAGAACAATAATTATGTTAAAGATGTACAGGAGGGTAGCAATATTGATTGTAGCACAAAATCTCAAGAGAAAGAAAAAGTTTAATGATCATAAGTGTCTTTACGACTCTTTGTACTCGGTAAACGAATCAATGGTTGTCGTGCAAGTTGTGTGATTGTTGACGGTTGATGTATAACAGCATTACGAGCGTACGGATAAATACCTAACATCGATGGTGGTAGCATCAATTTCTACATAATAAAAATCAGGATATCTGAACAAGAAAACTGTGGTGTGTACACTTACCTTATCCACGGGTGTTCTTAGTGGTGCTTTACTCAGTTTTGCCGATTTTATGTCATGGTTCGGATCCTACAATAAACAAGAAAGTCGTATAATAATATTTGTGTTATTGATGAATACACACCCGAGGAGCAACAGAGAGTTTGGAAAACGGACGAATTTCCCCTTTTGTTGGTGAATACTAAATTAACACAGAATAGAAATGAACGTCGCCGATGAGGAAGCGATGTACACATACAAATGGTCTGGTTGTGACATTTGACATATTAGCCACAAGCAGATGACTATCGCTTCCGTATATTGGACGTCGATCATTGTTCCTGAAAGAAGTTTTTTATCTCTAATTTTGTTATTTTAATTTTTGATGCATTACTTACCAAGGATACTTTTGAGTTTGTTCCAAGCTACGACTTGTGCAGTAACTAGGTACATTAGAACCCAACATTGATGAAACTAAAAATGGATAGATGTAATAAATTTTATGTTTGAGCTGTTTTGAAATGAAGTGAGACTCATACCGGTGGAATCAATGTCAGTCTGTTCGAGAGTATCTGGTTCATATTCTAAAATATGCAAAGGATTTTATAGTAATTCGACCATGTCATTCATTCTACATAAACTCGTTTACCATGAATAAATCGAGAACGATTTATTTTTTTTTCAAGTGATTGTTGACGAGTTCGGTTGTTTGTAGATGAGTCGGTAGGTGTATCTGACTTATTTTGCTAGAAATCGTAAATTCTTACAATTTTAGCAGTTACTTGTGCGAAAATTCAACTTTACCTACCACTATTAAAGTTGTTTGTCTAGAGCATGCTCGGATAATCGGTGTTTCATTGGGATGACAATCAATTGTTCGACTTCGAGTCAGTTCATGAGCCCAATCTCGAGTCTAGAATTATACTATAATCGTTAAAATTTTTGCTTTTTAGAAGATTTGTAGCATTTAGATATGATATTAAATCATCAAGAACTGATAATTTCGTAGTTTGAGTTCTTCAACACAACATGAAAGATAGATTATACCCGTGGTCTTTGTTCCACAGTATTGATTTCATCTCTGTTGTTGTTTAATTGTAATGCTCTTATCTCTCTCTGTTGCTGTAATGGATTATGATCTGATGACGAGGAGGAAGACGTTGTATTGATATGTGTTCCGTACATTGAATTATTTACATTTGGTACGATGGCCAACGAACTACGGTAAATATTTGGCTCTGGAGTTTGTTGTTGATTTTGTTTATCTATTTTTTCTAACTGTTCATTATCAAGACTAAACCGTTTAAATCGTTTATTTATATCTTTTGATTGTTTTCTAAGCATAACGCCATTTGATGTGTAGACAGGTTTTGTAACGTTTAAAATTTGTTGTTGGTGGTGTCGCTGCTGCTGCTGCATTAAAACTTGCTGACTTTCATCTAGCGATTGCTGACGACTAATTTTCATGTCGGCTGGTTTCATCAATTGACTTTTCAAATATTTTTTACTGCACGAAAAAATACTGAGTTCTTCACTACTATCCGAACTGGGACGATGGGTTGGTTTAATTGTTTGTTGTTGGTTATTCTTCTGTCTGCTTGCTTTTTGACGCGGAGGCCGTTGATCGTCACTCCCATCGTCACTGGAAGATAAAGATCGTTCCCTTTGTGATAGCCTTGATCGAGATGGTGATATTTTTAGTGGATGTTTTCCATGATGATGATGATGATAACTTGTACGAGAGGAAGTTTCATTATTTTCTGCTATATGTATTGTCTGTGTATTTCGTCGTTTTAAACGTACTTGTGCTGTCGATTGTTGTGAAGATGTTCTCGAATGTTCCTCTATTCGTGATGGTGGTGGTGGTATAAAAACGGTTGTCCGTGATAAATCATTAAATGAGATATCAGTTACATTATCGATAATGGTAGGTATTCTTGAATCGATTTCGTTAGAGCGCTTTTGTTTAAACGAAGAATGAGAAACATTAGGAACGACAGCTTCGTTATCACGAATTGAAGTGGTACGTTGCCGATTCTCATACCTAAACAATAACACGTTTGTATTATTTATCTTAGTAAAACAGCGAAATGACAACTATGTTGACTCTTACGACTTGCCATTTTGAAATAGCTGCCAATTGAGCATCGGTCATATCAGATGAGATCAAAAGATTCACAACTTCATCAGGAATATTGTCAGAAAATCGATTTCCAGACATTTGAACAGAACCAACTACAGTTTTTCTAATAAAATTGAAACGAGCGTGTGCATTTCATTTTATAGTTATATTTTCTAGTAGATACATACGCACGTTGTTGGCGTTTTGGATGTTGTTCAGCTGGATGATGTGGATATCGGGCAAACGCTTCATGTTGCTTACACTGTTCAGCTGTCCATCGATCATTTGCCGATACTCTAAGTGTAATCTAAGAAAAAATAGTTCTCAATCTTTTGTTTATTCTAGGAAAACCAAGTCAGTAATGTTTACCTTTAACAAACTGAGTAAATCTGATGATAGGATATGATTATAACGTTGTTCTAGTGTCTCTAATTGTTGAATTGCAGGAAACTAGATAAGTTTAATACGAACAGAATATTTCGCTTTTCTAGTTAAAGATGTCTGTGTACTTTTAATCCTTCAAATTTTGGATTTGATCTCAGTGCTTCGAAATGTTTCGCTGGTAATGGTCCAAGTGATTTTTGAATACGATACAATTGATCAATATCACTTTCGCCTGGAAATATTGCTTGGCCGGTACTTAATTCAGCCATAATGCAACCAATTGCCCACTAAAATAGAAATTGTATATGCACATGTTGGATGATAGGTGTCCGAGTTAAAATTACCACATCCACGCCTTTTCCGTAGGGTAAACTAAAATAATGATATGAATTAACTGAGTTTATGATACATGCGCAAAAATAATAATCACTTACCCTATTAACAATTCTGGTGCTCTGTACCAACGAGTTGCCACCTGAAATAAACGATGAATTTATTATCGTTCATTTGCGTGACAATTTTACATACATAATCTGTATAATAATCACAGGATGCTTTGTCCAATTCACGGGCAAAACCAAAATCACATAATTTTAATACCCAATTCTTGCCAATCAATAAGTTTTCTGGTTTGATATCTAATAACTAACGATAAAATAACTTTCAACTATTCAATTTTTTCACTAACTACCTCGATGAATAATTTCTCGTGAATGACACCAGTAAATGGCATTGATTAGTTGATACGTTAGATTTCGAACCTGATTATCTGGCAGACCGTCTGGTTGATCTTGCAAAACTTGTAACATATTCTAAACATGTGAGAAAAATACATAAATAAAAAAAGTAAAATTTATAAAAGACAACTAACCCATTCAACATATTCGAATACGAGATAGACTTGTTTTTTTTCACGAAACCATTCAATTAATTCAACAACATTTTCATATTTCAACGATTGTAAGATTTTTAATTCACGATCGATCACTTCCAAATCTGTACAATAGCCTACATGAAAAGAAAAGAATACATCCAGATACTGTTCATGTTAAATGGATACAATACTGAATATAAGGAAATTTCTGAAACTAATTACAAATACATGAAACACTTAAAGACATTATTTTCTATCACATCGTTTGTAACAACTTAGAATTCGTTAGTAAAAATCACACAAGAGCAGAAGAAACTTACCGGGTGCTTGCTTGAATTTTTTGATTGCTACCAAGCCGTTAGTATCCTAAAAGTGATTTAGTAGAGTTAATAGGAGACTAAACTTTGTGAGCAAAATTAAGAGAGAGAGCTAGGGATAGGACAACGAAATTGAAACCAGTATAGCTTACTTTTTTTCTAGCTTTTAGAACAACACCATACGAGCCTAAACGATAAAAATTTTCGTATTAAATGTTAATTAATATTTATATATTATCTCACCTTCTCCAATGATTTCTAGCACGTCATATTTATCTTTCACAGTTGCTGGAATATTTTTCATAATTGTAATCACTTCCTAACTTCTCCTAGAATTGAAAAGACTCTGATATAAAAATGATAGACTTAATCAATTTCTTGTTCAGTTAACTAGATGTCTGATTTATAAGACCTGAAAAACACTATTTCAGTAGACGAACAGTAAAATATACCACAAATCTAATAATCATCTTCAGAAATTATAAAATTTATTTTACTTTTAAGTTTTCATAATCATTATCATGAAATACCTGATTTATGGATCAAATTTATGGATATCTGGTTTTGACCGAAAATAATTCGTCACATAAGGCCATGACAAAGAAAGATTACTTAGGAATAACCTCCGCTTGATTATAACCACTATTGATATGCGTGACAGAGTTTAATTTAAAAGTTTACTACTATTCACGTTAACTTTTATAAAAAAATCAGTATCTGTTCTCTGTTTCGAGAACTCCGATAGAGGTCAGTAACTCAAAGGAATCATGGTCATCATAACGAGTGAAGTTAAATGCTGGTGACGACCAACAAGTACTACTGTATTTCATATTATTTTAACGGTATGAAGAGAGTAACAATGTTATTTCTCAACAGGATCGCATCCTCACCTAGTTTCTGCTATTCTTTATGTATCAGGCATCTGTCTTCTCGTCGTTCAACTCCCTATGACGGAAATTATTTTTTCAGGACGCTTTTTTATTTTGAAAAATGGAGAACTGTTTTGCAGCAAACAAAGATAACGTTACTAATATATAATAACGGGTGGGCCATGAAGAATGTCGGTCTCAGTATTTCGTTAATATTTCGCTCAGTTTTCATTGTATAGGCTTCAACTTTTTTAAAAATATTCGTCGTTTCATTCTCTACAAAAAACATATAGAACATTTTTTATATACCGCAGAAATAAAGGAAGATAGGTGAAATACTGCGAAGCGTCAATCTCCATTACTTTCTAACGCAAAACACAACGAAAAGATATTTATTTTGAACATGAAGCTATGCAACAAACTAGAATCAAAACGTATGTGCTGGTACCACGACGTATCGTCTTTCTTGTCATGTATCAGAGGTTGTCTTTGAACGTGTTTTTCTGATATGAAAGGTAATTTTACTAGTCTACCAAAAAAAAAGGAAAATTTCCACCTTTTCGCCTTGTCAGTGGAAACGGAATGGAGCTATCGAAGTTCCTCTGTTCGGATGTAACAGAAGAATTAATCTGCTTTAAGATAAGACATACCGGACCGCAAAATATTTGATTTTGAGATTTTGACCAATTTATAAAAAATTTCGCAAATGCCACGAAAACGGCGGTGTTTGATAAGATCGATATAAGCAAAAATTTCTCCCGCACCAACACGATCATCTTCTCTAATTCTGTATCGCAAAATGAGAAAAGAGCTAAAAAGAGCTAGATTTGAAAAACTGTTTTTTGGGTTAGAAAATAATGGAGATTGACGCTTCGCAGTATTTCACCTATCTTCCTTTATTTCTGCGGTATATAAAAAAATGTTCTATATGTTTTTTGTAGAGACGAATATTTTTAAAAAAGTTGAAGCCTATACAATGAAAACTGAGCGAAATATTAACGAAATACTGAGACCGACATTCTTTATGACCCCCGTTATATGTCCAAACGGAAGAGTCGATGTGTTATTTTTCAAAAACTGAAATTGTCAGAATCATTGACATGAATAAATCGAATTATTTTTAGTTACATTTGCCTTCAGCCGTGAATCGTACTTTTGTTAGGTAATAAAATCCAAATTAACTATTTCTTATCTTGTTTACTTTATTCGGTAACAAAACAAAGAAAACATTCTCACCTATCATGGTCGGGTTGTAGTGGTGCCGTGCCTTAATTTCAGTACTGTTTAACACGTCGAAATAATTTATATTCGAATCATTTTTCTCTAGTGAATAGAATTCAAGAATGCACACTTTCATATTCTTACTAGTAGTAGTATGGTCGCCAAGAAACTACCATTTTGATTTGAATCTAAAATAGTCAATTTTCCAACGTGTACATTGATCGCTCTTAAATTGACTTTATAACAATCATTCACACACACTATTCATGTTCGAGAAAATGAACGTGTGGAAAAGATTTACTTATATTATACTAATTGTATGAGAGATTGTTTCTGACTTGAACATTTCATTTTCTTTTATTATTTTAGGTGAGACAACTGAGAAAAAACGATACTATTTGCAAGTGCAAAAGCCTTATTTAAATCGTATTATTGAACTAGAAGCACATCTGCAGGTGGAAGAAATATTTTATATTATCTTGTTTAGAAGTTGTGTAGGCAATCTGACTGCAATAACGATTATCTTCTAAATATATACATCCTCGCTTTGATATATAAACGGTGAATGAAGTGGTAAATTACTGGTTGAGTTTCTCATTCAGTAATATACTCTTTTGATCGCTTTGATTGTTCTACATTGAATAGAGCACTTGTATTATTGTAATAACCATAATTGAGACATCAGTAAAAAATTGGGCACTACCTCTGCAACAGATTCTGAATAAAGAATTTATCATTCGTCTTTTGTATAACCAGCTAAAATGCAATATATTTTGCAAATTCTATTTAGACTTCCACCTCTATCTACCTGGCTACGATTTATAGTAGAGGATCCTTTTGTGCAGTTGCAGCTTAACCAACCAAGCGTGCTTCCTGGAAAATGGTCAGTACATATTATATATTTCATACCACAGGTGATGGAGATCGTACTATTCTGTGACAGGATAGGGACAAGAATTCTTGTGTTAAAGTTTGAACAACTGATAAAAAAGCTTTTTTTTTCTTCTGAAAAAATTCCAATTTATTGCTGTTGAAAAGCTACTATCTTGCTCAAAGAGTTTTTGAAGAGCCTAAAATACAAATTTTCAATGTAAAATAGTTTTCTTTTATAAAAATATTTTCTAATATTGGAAAGACTGGGATAAACATTTCTCTGTTCCATATATCTTTTATCTGCTACGGTCAGAATACTCCAAGTATCTTTAAATGCTGTTTGTTCCCTTGAAACAAGCAGATTATAACTGTGCTCCATAAGCTTCTTTAACCCATCTATAAAAGCAATAAACGTTCATTTCTTGAATGTAACGTGTTCTCTTGACTATTAACTGTAAGTCTTACAGAAAAAAGTCTTTTAACTAGCTCAGAATTTCTGGATAAATATGAACAAAGAATATTCAAGTACGCTGTGTTTTTCTTTAATAATTCTCTGTTCTATGATGGATTATTTTCGCATCCATTACCGCATAATCATGTGTAAATAACAGAATTCAAGCATGAGTGAAATATATGAGATGATACCCTTAAGATTACCGAGTTTTCAAATTTGGCGTATTTCTGAACTTCGTTGATATTGCTGCTGTTGCGTTTCATCCGAATTTTTTCAATCGCGCATTATTATACTTTACTTATTCAAACTCCTTAGCTATTCTTCGTTCATTTCAGACATTTTTCCTACATTACATTTATTGAATTTATGATTTATCAATATGGTTTTGATCGGCTTTTTCTCCTCAACTAGCTTTACGCTTTTGTTTAATGTTTATTTCTAACTTGTGATTGCCTGATACATCTGAATCATTGATTTATAAAAAAGATATGCGCTTGGTCAGTAATAGCTTTAAGTACTTTTAATAAAAGACAAGTTAAAAAGAGAGGAAAAGCTCAAATATGATATGATCCTGAGCAACATACCAATAATTCCATCGATTATTATATCAATAATTTCTAATTCATAGTCTAATAAGAATTTAGAAAGATCGATTGTTGTTGTATATTTTCTATAATATAAAATATTCCATAAATGATGTTCTCATTAGTGTAGTCGATACGATATTCAATACAGAATTTATGACCGGATTCTAATGAATCGTTGTTAAGTTGTTATTTTATGAGATTTCTGATAAATTGAAACTGTTAATAAAAGTTTCATGAATGTTAAGACGGCTGGCCTTAATTAGTTTATGTATTTTGTAACTGAGAGCTTTTCTGGCGATTCTTACAAGAAAATCTAACTAATCTGCATGCAATTCTATGACGGTAATTTAAAGAGTTGTACTCAAATGAAGGGTACCCACGTAAAACTCAAAAGTACTATTTGTATAGAAAGAGTCGTTCAAAAAATGATATAAATTTCAGACAAATGATGGATCAGACAAAATAAACAAAAGAACATAAAATTTTTCAATTCAACAGTGGAAAAAAATTTTGTTTCATAACGGTCTTTATTAGACCAATCGGTTCTATTCATGAAACTGTTCGACCAATCACATTCACCAAAAAAAATATTTTCTTTTTCTACATCTAAACTTGTCCATAAAATGGATCAGATAGAAATACGCAGATATGTGACATTTAAAAGAATAGAAAGAAAAGAATGTATACGTTTTCTTTTCTTTTTTTCGTATGAACCTGGTCGTTCATTGATATATAGTTTTATGTAATGTTCTTTTTTAAAATATAATATCACTCGATACTTTACATCGTATGCTAAACGAGAAAAAAAATTAACAGAACAGAAAAACGGTAAATTTCAACATATTTACTAGAGTTACACAAGAAATTGAAAGTGTATATGTGTGAAAATTTCAAACAAATGAAATCTTTTTGTTGATGTCATATAATCCACATATCTTAAGAAATTTTCCTCTATTTGATGATCATCAACATCACCAATACTCATCTTCATCTTCAACATTTCAACATTTTACAAACCATGTTCATTCCGCTTCTACAACCAATTATCATCAACGAATGCCAAAAATGGAAGAGTTATCACCATCAGAATCCGCTAGTTCAAGTGTACCATCATCACCAAATCATTCACATCATTTACTTATGACAAAAACTGGTATGAAAACAACACCAGCATTACCCACATCATCAATAATTAAAACAGACTCATCTTTCTCATCCTCCTCTTCAATAAAAAATGTTGATCAACAATCAATTGTGCTTAAATTATCTACTGATCAAACACTTACATTAACAATCGATCAAATTACTTGCGTCTGTGAAGTAATTCAACAAAGTGGAAAAATAGATAAATTGATTAAATTACTACAAATATTACCAAAAAATCATGATCATGCCTATAATCATATCCATAATCATGATTCTATATTGAAGGCACGAGCCATCATCGCCTTTCATCAACAAAAATTTCGTGATTTATATAATATTTTAGAAACACATCAATTTGATTTGATACATCATACTGAATTACAACAATTATGGTATAAAGCACACTATTTAGAAGCACAAAAAATAAGAGGTAGATCATTGGGAGCCGTGGATAAATATCGAATACGTCGAAAATATCCTTTGCCGAAATCAATATGGGATGGAGAAGAAACAATTTATTGTTTTAAAGAAAAATCTCGACAAGCATTAAAAGATTGTTATAGACAAAACCGATATCCAACACCCGATGAGAAACGATTATTAGCGAAAAAAACGAGTTTAACATTGATACAAGTATCAAATTGGTTTAAAAATAGACGACAGCGAGATAGAACACCAAGGAGGTAAGAGTAGTTTAAAAAAAACGAAGATTTCATCATTCATAGATATAAGTAAAATAAAAAAAAATTCTTGTATATGCTAAGCAGGCTCTATCCAAAGCGAATTATTGAAGTGAAAAGCTATTTATACAGCATCAAACGGTCTTTTTGCTTCTAATCTATGATGTGAAAGAATACGTACTGTTAAGATAAGTCAAAAACAAATGATAATAATAAGCAAAACTTTAGAATGAATATCATTTTATTATTTTTTGACATTGATCGTACTACTTTGCATCTGATATGTACTTCTCACTTCACTTAACTAATCCATATAAAAAAAAGTTTTTCATATTTAAACGAAGACAATGTGAAGAATACCATCAGAGAATGTCACTTTATCACACCAAAAGCAAAGACCCTATTTCTAACATATGATAAATTTCAAAAAATATTTTCTCCTCATTAACTGCTGAATTTTGTTTCTAAATCGAAGCTGTTAGAGTCTGTAAATAAATCCAAACCGAATCTATCTCAGGTCTTTATTATTTTTCAAAATTAAAGATTTAGATTATTCAACGTTTTTAAATGATTTTGTTTCTTTGACATTTTAAGATGTTGATGAATAATGGTTGGACACAAGTACTCATTGTAGAGAAAAAAAAAGTCATTATCCAACCTTAACCTTGATGTAAATGTTTTATGTTCATTTTCAATTAGTTTTAAACTTAAACTAAACAGTAGTCGATTTTTTTTTTACCACTTATATACTGACATAGATAAGTTATGACACTTTTACGATACATAATTGTTTTTCTCACATTTGTCTAATACGAATGAAAATGTTAATAGGACCATTGGCATGAATTAAGAATTATAACAAAAACATAAAAACTTATGATCTATATGTTTATTGTTTGACGAGTAGAATTAACTATATACATGTCCTGGCTACAACTGGTTCTCGAAACAAAACGTATTCATCGTAACGAGTTAAATACACTAATAACAAAACGTTTTTGTTTTTTACTATTATTCAATAAGTTGATAGAATGTGAAAAGTTTTAACTAATAATAAAAGTGATTTTCTGTCCAGTTAAGACTTTGTCAACTAGAAAGCCAACTATGTTACATCAAAACTGAAAAGTCCACCAAATGAATCTACTAACATAGTAGTTTTCATTTGTAGAAATTTTATTTATCTTTACAAAGTTCTTTTTTGTATTTTATTGTACATAAATACATAAAAGCACACAGCATTACACGAAAATAAAGTAGCACATAATTATTTATTTGATTGAGTCGATCTGTATTCAGTTATTCAGAAGAGAATTTATATTTTCGTAAAACAATGTTATACTTTTTTTTTATGTATTCGATTCTAGTGTAAAATTGGTCTTTATATTTATAATAGACATCTCTTGCCTCTTTTTTTACCTGCGTTTCTAATCAAATTTTTTTCTATTTAATTTAGTCAAGATTGTTTAGGTCAAGAATTGCCAACATCATTGTTAAATCAAGCTTACTTTGGTACACATTCAACGCATAATTATACAACAGCGGCTGTAACAGCAGCCTACACGAACAATCGCCTCGGAGTAAAGCCAGAATTCTTTACATCAAATGCTTTTCTTTATCCACCTCCGTCGTCTTCACGTTTTCATCCTAACAACAACTACTACTAAACACAAAATCAAATATAAAAAAAAATAGTAGTTCAGATTTTGAGAATGATCTGTTGTATTTTTGTTTCTGTTGCTGGTTCTTATCGTTTTTTGTTTTTTTTTGTTTTTTTTTCTGTTGTTTTGTGTTAAGTGTGAATGAGTAATTGAAATGTATTAAAAAGATGAAAAAAGAAAAGATTTGATTGGTAAAGTAAATATGTATAGTCGGACGATGAGCACTCACAAGCACATTATTATCAAAAAGAATTTTGTTATTCATGAATTTATAAAAGATCAAATTTTTCACTTTATACATATAGTACACACGTCTTTTTTCTTTATGCATGGATAAAGAACGGTTATCGTGTGATATTATCTGTATGATACTTGTTCAGCTAACACAGCAGGAATGATCTGTCTTAAAATAAGAAAGACAAAATGAAGAGTTGATGAACAAAATATGATTTGAGAATCATACACGTGTAATATTACATACGATCGGATGAATTTAGAATAAGAAACAGTCGAAAATTTTATTTTAAAAATATTTAATAGGAAAATAAAAATATTCATAAATTTATAACGAGAAGATAATAATATTTAATGTTTAACTTCAAGAATTGGATGCTAAGATATCGAAATCTTTTTTTACTATTTGAATTTGAGTATGCATAGGTTTTTTCTAAAACATCTGGTTGTATTCAGGTCATTACGGCTCGATCAAGAACATAAATGAACCGATCGTGTAACTGACGCATAATATTTAAAGAGTTTGATGTACATTTGGAGAAATTAGATAAGTAACCTAATCATATTAGCAAAAAAAGAGCTCAAAAATTTAATTTATAGAATTACACAAAAAACATTTGTAGAAGAAAATAGTTACTTGATAACCCCCAAAAAATTTTATTTTTTTAATATTAGGATCTTACTCAAGATTGAGGACTTTATGGTTGTCATAGACGATCTAAAAATTAATTTTTCATCCAAAATCTTTATTATGAGGACTTTTATCAGGATTATTAACAAACTTCATAGTCGAACGATTTTCAGAAAAAGTTTCTATTAAAAAGAAACGAAAAATACGTGATATGTATATAAAAATATGCACATTGTTTGGGCAAACACTTTTGTTAGTACTTTTATAAGAATAGACTATCTAGTAACTTTTCTAATATGATAATGCTTCCTTTGAATAAAATTCGAATATCTTTTATTAATTAACCTTTAAAAACAAAAAAAATTTGCTATACCGAACCAAAATTTTAGGCATAGAAACAACTTTTCTTATATCATTTACATTTTTTCTTCTTCTTTAGATAACTTCAAATTTGTCAAGATTCTATTGGAGAAAGTATCTTTACTGCTGATGTTCTCATTTAGAAGATGATGCGATTCTACGTAGGAGATTGAAAAATTTCGTCAATATGTTCTCGAATAACTAGTAATTATAATTTTAAATATTCAAGACAACATACACAGGCATACAAATGATTTTTTTTTCTTCTCTACTATTTTTCAATTAGATATCATGTGGAAAAAAAAAGCCGACTCCTATTACAACAAGTCAATCATCTATTTTTTATTCTCCCTTTTGCAAACCTTATAGCTTAGTCTACCTGATGATTTCCATATACAATCATAATTGAAAAGAAAAAATTTTTTTTTATATAAATTAATGATTGAGAAGAAAAAAATAGTAAGATGACACCCATATTATGAACAAATAATTAGGAATAAAAGAGAGGAGAAAGAGAAAAGCATACTGATTATTATTGTCTTGTTTATATTCAAAATGGATACATACAACGAATGATGGAAATACTGAAGAGAGAGAGAGAGACAAGAGCCAAATAGAAACTAAACAACAGTCGTTTTTCGCTGAAATATCTGACACATCTTCATTAGGAGTTGATGTTATCATAAGTTGATAATTTCAGTACTATAGCATTTTAATTTATTAGCATTTAAAAGTGTGCCATATGACACGTTCATTCTTTTTAAACGTCAAAAAATATTTGTTTGATTTTTTTCAATACATATTTTACGAATGCAAATAAGATCATTTTTGAACGATAGTGCTTTTAACTTTGATACATGTAATGAAAGAGACATTCTATTTACTATGCAAAGATATTACTGTCACTCACCATATCAATACTTAGCTCCAACAATCGAAATACATAATTAACATAGTCAAATACGACCAAAAAGAGTGATATGAAGATAACTTACCAATTCAAATTACGTCTCTTTCTCTACATCTTGCTTGTTAAATAAGATAATATCAGGGAAAACTATATACACGCTACGTAAACTTCGCTACGTACGCTATAACTTCGAACGTAGGTATGTACGCATACAAGAATACATATGCGTAAAATGCGCTAACATCCAAAAAGCACCATCATTATTCGACATTTCACATAATCCTGAAATAATAATAAGAAATATACCAATATCCAATCAAAATAGAGAATCCACGATCTCTGTCAAAATCTGGACATGCCTGTCATTGAAGTTTCTTTTGTGTTGATCGTATGTAATAATCGACGATTATCTGCATTCTAAAAAAGAAAGTGTACCCAAAACCACACTTTTTAGGTGTTCGCTTTTCCACCGAACACTTTTCAAAAAGATCATTTTTAAAGTAGGCAGCAGAGGAACACTTTTGAAAAGTGATTACAATAGAATGCTTATGAAAAAGGTCATATCTGGAAGCGCCAAGCTGACGTGCTAAAAGTATTTTATTTTTTTACTTTTTGAAAGTATTTCTCAGTGTTAGCATTTTTGAAACCGCTCTATAAGAAAAGCATGGGAAGCAGGAACTGTTCTTTTCAATTACACATTTTTTTACAATGTGGAAAGATAATAAATTTGCGGACAAAAGTTTAGAACAGTTGGCACGTCACGCTTTCTTTAAAGCCTTCATTATCTAAGAGCATCCAAGGAGGGGAGATAGATTGTCCGAAGTCTCCACTTTATACCATTAATTCAAATTATGTATTAACTGTGAAAAGAAAACTGAATGACTGACCCAAAAATCGAAGCTAAGACTTGGACACCTGAAAACAAAGGAGTAAGTAGCCCACATAAGACTTGACATGGGCCCACCAGCTTTTATTGCTTCAATCTGTCCTAAGCTCAGCAAAATCATTTATTCTACTCGACAACAAACAGTTTCTTAACACCAGCAATATGGCAGTAAAATCAAAATTTCTTCGTAACTATCCTCTATTTAGCCTAGTCCAGTACATCATTCGAAACGCCTTGAAAGACTACAATATATGTTAATAGGAAAATTAACGGAACCTGGCAGCATCTTTTGCGAATTTAATGCTAGATTTTCGATAGATCGCGGTTACGCCAGTGCGCCTAACTGGTATCGGATTTTCTTGGAGTCCCATGACGCGTATCCAGTAAATTCGAATAGCTTTGGAATCGCATGGAACGTAGATAATGGATAATGCTGAACCGTTAAGGAACGGTCCTTTTTCAAAACAAATCAGAAATCTGGTGAAAACTGAGTTTTAAAACTATGATTTTTAGATTGTTTCTACCATACTAAAAAAATGCCATATTCACTCAAAAAACGTCAGAACGAGTTCAGAGGATAGCTAGATTACTGCGCTAGATGTAATTATAAAATAGAAAATATTTGGAAAACGATCTTTTTGCCAACAAGTTTTATAGAAATCCTTTCGGAAACTCCATAGAGTAGATTTGTTAAGAACATCATATAGAATAGCTTAAATACTGTACATCCTGAAGTTCTGTTAAAGAACTGTTTGTTGTCGCGTAGATTTCGTCGGACATGTTCTACAAAAAAACGTGTCTTGATAGCCACCCGGCTAGCTTCAAAATACGTCCACAGTGTGTTTTGAAGGCACGTTGGGTGCATTTCTTCATCTTTTTACTGTTAGTCGTTTTAATGTCTTCAAAGAAAACGCCTCTAAGTAGCTGCTTTTTCTGAAAAAAATATCTTATGTGCATTTGATAGACATCACTAACCATCAAAAAGACACAATGCACTAGCTACGCTCAAGACCATCACCACAGATAAATCGCGTAGTATAAGACATCGAAATGCGTGGAGACTCTTTGCTAGACATCGAATAATCCTGGTGCCTCAAGCAGTGTACCGGAAGTGCTGAAATTATAGAACATGATGATTTTGATGAGTTTGGGACAGATTGGAGCAATAAAAGATGACGGGCCGAATTCAAGTCTTATGCGGACTGTTCCTTTTTCCAGTGGAAAGATTTTTTGACGACTTGTTCTGACAGGAAAAGCAAGATTTTGTGAAAGCTTTGTATGTTGGAATGATAACTAACGAGAGAACATCCCCAACCAATTGATTACTTTTTTCGTGAAATGCATGCTCATAGAGTTCATTTTGATAGTGATTCTGAATCGATATATGTTTTTTCCGTTAGATTCCACATAACTTAGATTAGAAATCGGATACGGTAAGTTGATCTCTTAATATCAAGTTAAAGACTATATAGATAATTTACGTTCATTTTTGTTCATGCTCGCTATCATTTGATACTTCAATATGTTTTCCGTTTTGCAAAAGATTTGTTTAGTCTTTAGCTGTAACCTATCAGACTACAAAATATAAACTCCATTTTCACAGAGCTATAGTAGCGAAAAGTGAAGAGCTCCCTGAGGAAGATACTTCTCTTTTGTATTGTGAGAAAAAATTTGTGAAAAACTTTTTACTGTCAGCTTTATGAATACTGTTTATTCTGGATTATATGACGAACGGTTTTGGTCTTCCATTGAGAAACTGTACGATATTTTTTGAAAGTTCACGTGCAATGAAAATGATGTTCGTTTCCACAGTCACAAAATTTTACGATGTATTTGTCGTTCTGTTTAAAAATAAAAAATAGAAAAAACTTGATTCTCCTTAAAAGTCTTTTATTAATATAAAGATGTTCATGTGTTGCCGATATTATTCTGAGATGAATACATGTTGTGCACTCGATGTTCAGAAATCCCTCGATGATGAGCTCGCGTTATTATTGGCTGCATCTCCAGAACAAACCAGGATCTATTCTTTAAACATGGCAAAATAACCAACAAACATTGAAAGTGATAAAGAGTCAAATATTGTTTCTTCCACAAGTTATGAATTGACATCTTGTATAAAAATTTGTATTTAATAGAACGCTTATAGACAGACTTTTTTGAATGTTGAATATTTCAGCGGCTTGAGCCAAATGCGTTCTAACACATTTGCGTCTCTAAGCACGTCTGAACGTGCTCAAATGCAAACACCGGGAAGCATTCAGAAACATCACATTAGTAAACGCGTCTGAACACGTCTAAAATGAATCCTATTGCAAGATCGTATTCTTGCTCGATTTCGTCTGATTTTGTAAGATTCTGTCAGAAACATAGAAACTGATTCCTGATGTAAGATCTTATAGTGAGATTTCATCAGATTTCGTAAGATTCTTGTATGATTTGTATAAGATTTTATAAGATGAATCTGTTTCCATGATTTTCCATAAGATTTTATAAGATCTTGTAAGATCTTATAAAAGTTTTTTTAACCTGGGAAGTGAAAAAAATAGAAGTAGCATTTCATTCACTTGTATGGAAAAAATAGCTCGAACGCACACAGCGCTGAAAGGTAGTCCTGTTGGAGTACCATGAAAGAAGCTGAAGGGTAGTCCTGTTGAAGTACCATGAGAGCACCTCAAGTATTGACCATATCAATGATCTTAGTAAGAAATCAAAATAAATTGATAGGTTTTTTTCTTTATTTGTTGTTTCAGTATTGTTCTTTATATACGAGTGACAAATGTAAAACAAAAGAGAACCTTTGTCGTCAATTAAAAAAGTAAAACGGACGCCCGGCCTGCAGAAACAAACGCCTCAAAATAAGATGGATGAAAAGAAATAAGATAGAAAATAGAAAGACGGAAAACAAAAGCCGAATGTTTTTTTAGAGTGTAGATATAACTGCTGAATACCCGTCAACCGACAATTTTTTTAAGGGAAGAGACCGATGCTAGCGACTACGTCCACAAACATATCCTTTAAAAGGCAAGCGTGAATATTTTACTTACATTTGACAAACCAGAACATTTAGTTTATCGGCAATACTCACAGCTGAACCATAAGTTATTACCCTCCTTCTTTTATTATGAGATCAAATACCAGTCATATGTTGAACCAGAATTGAGAAATATGCGAGAGAACATAGAGAATATGAGATAGAAATTTTCTTCACTAAGTACATCATAGCTTATTGGTAATTTGTAAAAAACAGTGCAATATTCTGGGAAGGAAATATAGAAATGATTCAGAAGTGATGTTAATATTCCTGTAGTATTCGCTTGAATTCACTGAGAAATACGGATAAGTTGCTTGAGGCTATTGGCTTCTGGAAAATTCTTGACGTATGTACATGAGAAAAGAAACTTCATTAAGAAGTGTATCTTTAATTGTGTCATTGATAGAGTTACTATTACATCGGCCTTCCGTACAAAATCGAATTATCTCGTCTTCTTTGCAGTGCGTCAAATGATGTAAACTTATCTTGTTGATTAGTCGATGGTGAATTTCGTTTATTATTATTTGTATTCTCCACTTCAATTTCAAAACTACTTTTTTCCACATGATTTTCATCTCCATTTTGTGATGGTACACTATCTATATTATTTTCTTCATTTTCTTCTTGATATGTTTTCAATTTTAACTCTTCACCGTGCCATACATTATCCGCCAGAGCACCTGAACTAGACAAAAATGCTTCCACTTCTCTCGCTTCCATTTTTCGTGCCCATGCCAGAGGTGTATTACCATCTTTATCCTAAAATTGACATATTATTCATCCATCCTTCACCAAACAAAATCCAGACCGAAAGGAGTCGGTACCTTTTGTAAACTTTCGATCAATGTTAACTGCATGCAAACTTGCTGTAATAGGTATCTCTCAATAGAAAACGAGAATAATACATACTTTTACATTGATATCAGCTCCTTTATCCACAAGTAATCTGACTATTTCTAAATAACCATGTCCCGAGGCAACATGTAATGGAGACCAGCCGGATTGATCCAGAGTATTCAATGGTGCTTTCCCTTTTTCTACTAGAATTCGAACCATCTCTTCTTGACCATCATCGATAGCATAATGCAATAGTGGATACCTCATGAGATTTGCACTGTCAAGAATTGACTCCGATGTGCTACCCGTGACTCTTGCACCGTTTTCAATTAAAAGTGATACTAGTTCTAAAGTAGAAAGACCTACAGTATTATTATACTTGCTAGATTGTTGTATGCTTTATCACCTTTATCATTAACTGCCATCGCATCAGCTATTAACGTTAAACCATTTGTAAAATCACAGTCAATTTTTGCTCCATGGGCCAGTAAGAGTTTAACATTTTCACGACTACCACTATTAATGGCAGACATTAACGGTGTCCAACCAATACCATCACGTATCTCTAAATCTGTTACATATTCTAACAGTGGGGCTAACAAATCTGGATTACCTGTAATATTAATAATTATTGTAAGCATTTTTTCCTTCGACTAGGGTTATATATACCTTGCCATGCTGCATAGTGAAGTAATGTGCATTGATTTTCATCTTCTGGAACACGTTGAACAAATATTTGGCGTAATTGATCGGGAGTTAAATCCTTCATTTGTAATCGTAGTTCACTCACATCTTGGTTTTCAAGTGCATTCACTATCAGCTGTTCTTTTGAAACTCCAAAACCCATCGTTGACAAATAAGAAAAAGCCTAAATCTACTAAAAAATGATTTTTCTTATATTGATGTGATAATGATGTAAGGTGCTCCAAATTCAAAAGGTAAGCAAAAAATAGATTTTCTTTAAACATATGGTTGGATAGAGCTCGTCGAGTTGATTCCGAATATCGCCTTTTTATCGAGTTTTGATCACGTTTTGGGGGAGAAATCTTCAAAATACCACAAGAGTCGGAAAAGTGAAAAAGTGAGCGTTATAGAGAAAAATCAAGATTTAACCGTTTTCCGTTCACTCTAGTTTTTCGAAACTATTCTATTCGACTACAGCATCAAAAAGTGAGTATATCCATGTAGGTTTGTCACTAGCTCGTCGTTCTGATGTCTGCGAGCAGGACGGACTAAGTTCGTCCAAGGACGTTTTGCCACCCTGCTCCCAAACCTATGTAGTCTTTTGTTCTAAGAGCTATCCCAACTATCACACATTATTCGAATCACCATTCGACATTGAACAAAATTACGTACGGATTTAAGAAACTTTCATTTCCCCATTGAGAAACATCATCATTAGCGTAGCAAGGTCAGAATTCTGTCCGTAATTT